TAAGCTATAAATTAAATGTTAATAAACTTTTAATTTCAATTGAATACAAGAATTTCAGTATTCATGCAATGAATGGGTCTTTGCATTGAAGTGAGCGTTGAATCCAATGCTGACATCTATTGAGACAATCGTTTGCTTTGAAAAATGAAAACATATTTTTGTTTACATTTCTTATAAAACATATATTTTTCGTCTTTTATTGGTGTCGAAGAAGTGGTGAATCGATGGACAGAGAGGACAGACATCACCGCCGGAGAGGGCGAGACGACAGGCGAAGATCGCCACCAGCTCTGGAGGCGGATCCACACATGGCTTGGAATGAGTTGAGAGATCGCGCCAAAGATGAACAAAGAGGTGGCGGTCGACGACATCCGTACTTCGATCGACAATCCGGTGATAATAGACACGGAAGTCGTGGCCAACGACACGATCGGGACTTCGGCGGCGACAACGATAGGCACCGGAGGGGCAGAGATAACGACCGAAGACACGAATCCAATGACAACAGAAATAGGGATACGTTTGACAAAAGCGATGAGTTTTGGTCTAAAGAGTCGAAAGCGAAGACAAAATCGGACGACAAGGATGTGGTGAAAGAGAAAGAGAAGCCAAACCTATTGACGACCGGAAAGTTGGCCGAAGACACGAATACATTCAATGGAGTTGTCATCAAATACGGCGAACCGACCGAAGCCCGCAAACCCAAGAGGCGGTGGCGGTTGTATCCTTTCAAAGGCCAGGACTCACTCGATTTCATACCAGTCCACCGCCAGAGCGCTTACCTCTTGGGTAGAGACCGTAAGATAGCGGACATTCCCATCGATCACCCGAGTTGTTCCAAACAGCATTCGGTGCTTCAGTTTCGGCTCATTGAGTACAAGCGAGAGGACGGGTCGAACGGCAAACGGATCCGACCGTACATTATAGACCTCGAGTCCTCTAACGGCACGTATGTTAACAATCAGAGAATTGACGCCAAATGTTATGTCGAGCTCTTCGAGAAGGATGTCATCAAATTTGGGTTCAGTTCTCGAGAGTATGTCGTTCTTCACGAACAGTCGAAGGATGAGTCCGACGACGACGACATCCAAGACGCAGAAGAACCGGAGGTCGAGATTAAAACCGAACCTAAAGATTGATAACTCAGGACTTGATGTGAGGTCTGTTTCAAACCAAACAATTGCCACAAAGTTATCATTTATTTTCATTACATATAAATTATATATTGAAATGTTTTTTTGGTTTGTATTGTAATTAAATTTGTTATAAATTTGCCATTTCTTACCATTGAATCGAGTTTTGATTAAAGACTTATGTATTAAAAGAATTATAAATTAAAATTACAAATAATCATTGATTTATTGATTTTAATTCATTGAATATTCATGTAATTAATGTTTATTGACTAAAAACTAGTGCCATTCTCTCTACCAAAACATCCCCTAAAATATCCATAAAATCCATTGACTTATGAATTCTTGTTCGCAAGTCTTATGGTAATTGTCTTCTCTTCGGTGTATTCGTAGAGTGCATTCTCACCGAACTCTCGACCAAAACCAGACATTTTATAACCACCCAAAGGTGTCTGTGGAGTGACCACAAAGTAACAGTTGACCCAAACAGTGCCCGCTTTAACCGCCTGTGAATACGTCAACACATTATCCAGACTTTTGGTCACAATTCCCGAACCCAAGCCATAAATAGTATCATTGGAGCGTTGGATCACTTCATCCATTGTCTTGAATTTGATGATCTGTTGGACGGGTCCGAAGATCTCTTCGCGAGCGATACGCATGTCGTCCCTAACGTTGGAGAAGACGGTCGGCTCCACGTAATAGCCTTTATTACCGATCCGTTTGCCTCCGGTCTCGAGTGTCGCGCCCTCTTTGATACCGCTTTCGATTAATTCCATCACTTTATTGAGTTGTTGGGCATTGACTTGCGGTCCCTGAACTGTCTTCGTGTTGAACGGGTCGCCCACCACTCGAGCGGCGGCCACTTCGGCACTCTTACGGACAAACTCGTCGTAAACGCCCTCCTGAACAAAGGTACGACTGCCCGCACAGCACACCTGTCCGTTGCACACAAACACCGCAAAGTGTGCCAAATGGACCGCTTCATCGATGTCCGCGTCGTCGAACACCACTAACGGACTCTTTCCGCCCAACTCTAGGGTCACACTCTTCAGGTTAGAGGCGCCCGACGCCTGTTGTATCAGTTTTCCCACAGCCGTAGAGCCGGTGAACGTTATTTTGTCGACATCCATGTGCTCTGACAGTCCCGCGCCGGCGATCGCGCCGTAACCGCAGACAACATTGAACACTCCCGACGGGAACTCTGCCTCTCGAACCAAACTAGCGATATATAGAGTGCTTAGAGATGTTTGTTCCGCCGGTTTCACGATCACCGTATTGCCGGCCGCCAGCGCCGGACCCATAGTCTTGGCCAACATAACCATCGGTGCATTCCATGGGATTATTATAGCGCAGACACCCTTTGGCTCGATTCTGGTTAGAGTTGTTATGTTTCCGTCTGTAATCACAAGATAGACAATCATAAAAACTACTGCTTAATGAATGGGAGACTCGTAATGGGACACCTGAAGGAATGGTCTTTCCGTGTATCTTATCAGTCCAACCCGCGTAATACCGGATCAGTTCCACAGAGAAAACCATTGAGTGTTTGGTGTCATTGATTGTCAACCCATTCTCTAATGTGTCCAAACTCTACAGCCAATTATCATTAAAAAAAACTCAATCAAACAAAAGTGTATTTGACATAAATGTAGCGCTAATATACAGCGATATACTCGGCGTCCCTCTCCATCAGATCCGCCAATTTTTGCATCAGTCGTCCCCTCTTCGAGGCATCCATTGTCCGCCACTCAGAGCCCAACTCGAAGGCCCGTTGAGCCGCTTTGACGGCCACATCGACGTCATTCCTGTCCGCTTCAGCGATCTCTGAGATCACGTCGCCGTTTGAAGGATTGATTGTCGGGAAACGCTTCCCATTAACCGAATCCCGAAACTCATTGTCAATAAAAAGTTGTGTGTATTTTATTTGTGGCTTTTGAACAGACATTTCACAATTTGGTGTCGACTACTCCTTACGAATGCAAAAGTTGTCTCCAAAATAGAAAAGCAAACAAACTTTTTTCGCACTAAACATCAGTTAATCTTCGGTTAAGATCTCTGGGAATGAGTTTTCGTTAAGACATGAACTTATTTTCCCCATAAAAAGACAATTTTAAAACAAAAATGAAACAAATGAAGTGATGGCACGACTAAAGAATCAATTCTTGTTGTATAATAAGTTTTTTCACATTTATATTTGATGTCTATCTTAACAATTATTAGTAAAATTATTTTTTCGTTTAGTCTGTATTCAAGGCTTGATATTAAAAGATAGTGAAAATCAAATAAATGTAATTAGAGTTCATGTTTTACGACACAAACACTTTCTTTATGGCTTTAAATTGTTATTTTTGTAGATTTTAACTATTTTTTTCTATGAAATTAATGCATTTTATTTTATTTTATAATTTTAACCAAAATATTTGTCGGTATCGTTAAAGTTATAGCAAATTATTGGACTGCCATCAAAATGCTTATAATAATTAATAATAAGTAGAACTTTTTAATTAATTGATAAATATAGTATGATGAATATTAACCAGCAAAATATACTTTACAGTACATTTACCTCTTTGTGTGCGATTATCATGTGTAATCATATACTTTTAACACAAATTACTGGTTATTAACTAATCTATATTGATTAATCTTATTTTAATTTGCATTTGAAAAGCCAGTAAATGAATTTAATTTTATTTAGTTAATTGTATATTTTGTACAAATTTTGTCACAAATGGTTGAGTTTATTAAAAATTGACATCTAATAATTTTACTAAAATTTAGCAAGAATTTTAATTTCAAGGGAAATCATAAAATGTTTCATAATTTAATTAAAATTCATCTTTAGTGCTTGTTTTTGAAAACAATATTAAACATGAATTTTCAAAATATTTGTGTTATTATTTAAAATTTTATTTAAAAAAGTAAAATAGTATAAAACTTGAAGATTAATCACAAGTTGTGATTCACAACATAAAAGTTTAATAATAAATAAATGTTTTGTTTAAAACAATTGATATTTTAGATTTAAACTAATAAAATGTTTAAATGTGTTAAATATTTCATGAATTTACCCTTAATATTGCTTTAATATAACTTGCATAAGACAAATGTAATGCAAATAATACTAAATTCACACAAGAATTTAATGGATAGTAAATCCAAGTTTTATATTTTAAATTAAATTTTTTGGTTTGATGATTTTCAGCCCATTTAAAAAGCAAACAAAAAATGAATTATCATTTAAAGTATAACTTATTTTAATATTATTTATTGGAAATATTAGATACTCTGGAAAATAAGATGTAATACTCTTGAAATAAATACATAAACATATAAACATGTTTAAAAAAAATTAAAACTTATTTGAAAGTTTAATAATTTAACATAAATTATAATGCTTTTAATAATAACTATCTGTCCTCACTTTCTCTCTCTCTCTCTCTC